GACGTTGAGGCCTCGGAGATTCCTGTCGGGACCAGGAACAAAGAGTGTGTCCTAAAGGTTGCGTCCTTGACGATTGCATTGACCCCGTCACGGCATTCAAGGGCCCTGGAACGTCTCAGGTTGGCCACCCCTTTGAATCCGCAACAGGGACAGCAACCACTTCGGAGGCTGGTCCGGTCTTAGATCCCAGGGCCACTCCCTGAGATCTTGCTGGGGCCACCAAATGTTGTAGCTGCCAGCCCCCGATAGACACATGGACTACTAGAAAACAGTGAGTTATAGGAAACACACTCTTTATTCAGCCAGCTGGGTCTGCCAGGGGTACGCAGACCCCAAATTAAGTAGCCCCGAAATGTAGAGGTACAGGGTTTTTAGCCCTAAACCCCATTCCTCATTCTGTCTGTACACAAAGGTCTATTTTTCTCCTATTCACTACCTGTCAACTCACAGGTCAGGTGTGCAAGCGGGGGTACAGAAGCAGAAAGCTTATTGTTAGAATGTTATGTTCTCATGGGTGATAACCTATGTTCCTATGGGTGATAGCCAAGCAGTAATTTTCCAGCCAACACAATGCTACTCTACAGTTTTGAGAGGCTTGGGTATTTGACCCTATTTACTCTTATGCGTTATTATTAGCTGTTGAATTTTCACCCTAAATTCATGAATAAAACAGTTTAAACCTTTGAGACTTCTTAAACCTTTAACAAATGCAGTCAGCAAATTCAGTTTTATTATGTACATGTTAATCAAATGTTTTTTATTGTATCTATATTTGTAATGAAGATCTGCTAAAACAACTTTTGGCAAAAAAACTATTTGGAGGCATCTAACACATTTACAAATATAAAAAACAGATTTGACATCTTGTCAGTTGCATTGTTTTTTAAGTGTGTATATTCAATTTACTTGCAGATTTACATATGTTAGACTTGAGAACACAGTGAATATATAGGTTAATGGAGCAGTCATTATGTGATCAACTATAGCTCTTTTAGTTTAAATTCTTTTGATTGAAAAGATAACTATTGCAGAGCAACAGGATGCCTAACTAATAAATTTTTAAAAATTTGCAGTATATATATACAGGAAGTGATTATATAAGTATAATTAGAGATTTAAATACATATCTTTAAAAGAAACTTAAACACCAGATACCTTGGCATACAAATTAAGTAATTTATTTTAACACCAGATACCTTGGCCTAAAAATTAATTTATTTTAATGTCCAACACTCATGACATTCACCAAAATATTTATAAATATTCTTTCAAGTAATTATTTGCTCTTTGTATATATTGTATCATAGACCTCTGTGTCTACATGATAAATTGAGTATATCCACTATGTGTTTCAGTATTTATCCTTAAATTTACAAAATAATTAAATTGAAATTTTCAAGATAAATTCTGTATATTTCTAATTTTGTTCCAACCCTACAGAAATTGTGAGAGACAATATTTAGACAAGCAACTAAGCCTAATTTCGGGAACTTTTATAACTTAAAAAGTTAACACTATTTATTTATTATACAATTAAATATTTTCAAAAGTAAAAATTTCCATAATATTTGAACTCCTACCAATAAAGTAGTAGAACAAATAGTTTTAAAAATGATTCAACTGATAAGATTTGTATTTTGCCTAAAGAAACATCTGTGAGTTTATTCACTTATCTAGTTATATTTAATTAACAAAGGATAATAGCAACCATAATATAGGCCAGACACTGAGTTATAAGTGGAGATTAAAACTAAATTAAAAAAACAAAAGCAAATCCTATCCTCTAGCTGCTCACTGATCAATTAGGCATAGGTAGACATTTATATAAAGAGGGTAATGTACCATCATTGGTGCCTTGAGAAAAATACATATAAAGTATCAGAAATGTAGATTGTCTCAGTGGTTACTTCTCCTTGAAGTTTTACTACCTGTTTATTTTTTACCACATAAGCTCCCAAATCTCATTCCTGATGAGCCGAGTCAATTAATTTTATTCTCCAATGCCCAAGAGAAGTGACACCCCTGCCATGACTGCTAAGACTGCCTTATGAGTAATCTGTCGGATGAAAACGTAAAAGCTTAGACAACACCAAAAATAGCCTCTTCCTTTGAAATAGAAATATTTGCCTGTAAGAATAACCTCAAAATATAGGTTTTACTGCAAAAAGCTAATTGAATTCATTATAACTCCTCTGCAATCACGCATTTTATATCCTGATTGTAGCTTATCCGATACAAAAAATTAATTCTTATATACAATTTTAGGAGTGTATGACGTTTCCAAATTTAAAAAAAAAAAAAAAAACCTTTACATTTAATTTAACTTTACATTAAATATACTGAACTTTTTGTTACAGTTTATCTCTACATCTTATTCTGTTTAGACTATCTAAGTAGTGAATTAAAATTTGCAAGAAATCCGTAAGTTCAAGATGATGCACTTATAGTAATTTGAACCAATATTCAAATATGGATACTGCATATTTTAAATTTTATAAATAAAAATCAGACATATTGCTTAATTTTGTGTTTCTAAATCAGCTTCAATACATAGCCATAAACAAACTAAATTTAATATATTAAATATGTATCAAATGGAAAACTAGGTATATTTATTTTCATTTTTGCCTACGTATTGCCATTTAATAATATATTTAGAAAAATTATTATCATACTATCTATCTGGGTTTAAATATGTACTCCTAGCCTCAAATTTTAAATTTAACTTCAGAAGTATTTTACATTTAAAAACCACAATAATAAACACTAAAAAAGTAATATTTTAGATGATAAATTATAAATTGCCCTAGGGGTCATTGCAATCTTTTTTCTAAATTTAATTTATTAATTGTTTAATAATTTGTTCTAAAAATTAATAAGAAGAAACAAACTGTTCTAATTAAACAATTGTAATTGGTATGATTTGACTCAGTTAATTTCAAATTACACGAAACCTTTCCTGCAACAAATTTTTAGTATACAATAAAAACTGTCTTGTAAAAAATTCTTTTTTCCATTAAGGGCACTTGTCCAAGGAATATTAACACTGACTATTGTTTCATCACAACTGGTCTTAACCAGATGGAACTGAAAAGAAACCACAAACTCTGACTCACCCTGTGATGCCAGGCCTTTCCTAGAACTAATTTAACTCACTTTCTTGACCAATGGACAAATGAGATTTTGTTTCTATAAATTGTCTACAATTTTTGTAGACAATTTATTGAACAATTTATAGAACTTTTTGTCTTTTCTTGAATAAATATCTAGGAATACTTGCTGGGTCACAAGGTATGTGTATGTTTACCTTATAAGAAAGTGCCAATTTATTTTCCACAGTGCCTATAGTATTTTACATTCCCAGGAATACTTTGTGACAAATGTTTTGCCAACATTTGATATTGTCAATCTTGTTTTCATTGTAACTGTTCTACTGAATGTGTAGTGGTATCTTATTGTTTCAAAATGCATTTTATTAATGACTAATGATATTGAGTATAGTTTTCCATTACTACTGCTTTTCTATTTTTTTGTGTGTATTATTTGTTGCAATATCTTATCCTCTTTTATTTAGTTTTGTTGTCCTCTTATTATTGCAAGTGTTCTTTATATATTTTTGAGAAAAGTTTCTGTAAAATATACGTATTGCAATTATTTTCTCCTAGTACATAGTTGCCTTTCATTTTATCAATAGTGGGTTTTAAAGAAGGGGGTGTCTTATTAAATACATTAAAGTTGATTAAACATTTTTAAAATGGTTTGCCTAAGAATGCTCTCAAGTATACTTTGGCTATTCCAAGGTGTTTAAGATTTTCTCTCATGTTTTCTTTATGAAATATTATAGTTTTGGCATTTACATTTAGATTATGGTCTGTCCTAGGATCTGATGCCAAACTTCAAATCCACAGATAAGGCGGTCATAAAGGAAAGATTGATACAAAGTTCTGAAGAGCAAGAAAAGCTGGAATCCATGAGCATGAGCTGAAGTTCATGATATTGACTAAAATTCACATCAGCTCTTACTGACTCTGACCTATGTAGCATGCACATCCTGCAGAATCCAGAGCACTTCATTTGGATATAAACACCCATATCTGGCCCAAGATTTGCAGAAATCCAAGGAGAATCCCAGAAAGAGTGGATAGTTGCAGGCCTGGCAATTGCTTCACGTCAATGATGTGAGCTAGCAGATAAATGACAATGTGTGCTTGTGCTACAAAAATCATTGCTGTTCTACTTCCATGCTCCAGATCTCATATTTTTTTTTTTTTTTAATGATAGCCCACTGTAATCAGAAACATGGACGATAATTCTAGGAAACTTAGTGCAGCCTAGGAAGCCAACATATACACTCTATGTCTGCCCCTTGCCACCTTGAAACTGACATATGCATGTCCTAAAACTATACTTAATATCCAAATAAAGACTATGACAATGTCATGCTTTCACTTAACATGATTAACATACAAATTATATATACATTATCCTTTTTTCCCAAAAGAGGATTCCTTTTAGTGTTTGGGAGATTTTCTTTGTTACAAGCTGATTAATTTTGATTTCCAATAACATAAATATTATGATACAAAATTAACTATTAAACACGTTATAATATTTGTAGATAATGAAGAGGGGAAGAAAATACATTCAAATCAAATTAAGGAAGAAGTACTTATAAGTGTTATAGTCCTAGGTTCTGGAACTGGTTACATAGTTTAGATTTATAACATTTAGAAACAACAATAATAGCCACACTATTCATTTCATAATCCTTATATACCTTGCAAGAGCTTCATTTGGTTGTGATTCACTGTCTGGTACAACTACTGAAACATTCATTACTAAAAGCTCTGGGTCATTATAATTAGTCCTGTCTCGGTTTTTGGGGTTGTCAAACTTTTCATTGACTTCAATCTCAGGCTATGAGAGTACTAAGAGGTGTTCTAAGGGATGTCCTCAAAATTAAGAGACTGACTCTATTTTTGATGTTTCACCATTAATAGCTTTTAGATCCCTGCATGATCCACATCTGGGCAATGAAGGAAAGAAGCCCTACACATGTCCTTTGCTTTTGCAAACTGTGGGAATTTCAGCTTTTTGCAGTCTCCTCGTTGTTTGTAGGACTCACCTATGCTGGATGTCCTTTGTTATTTTGAGACCTTCATGTCCTGGGAGACTCCAGTTTGTTGTGAGTATTAAATATACTTTATTCACATTCAAGGGTGAGTGGGTCATGTCATCTCTCTTGACATCAAAATAAATCCCTAGAAGGGAGACCATGTTTGTCTGTGGGTACGTAAATATAACAGTCCTTCTTCTCATGCACGTTGTGGAGTAGCAACCCAATTTCCCTTGATACTCAGGATCAAGAATCAGAATAATCTCTTTTTATCCATCTATTCAATAACATGAAGAACCCAACATATCCAGGCACAGTCTTAATTTCTAGTTTATTGGTATCATTATTGTGTCTGCAGGTAGAAGCATTCTTCCCTTTGGAACTAAGGCCTCTAGACCAGCAGAGTCTGCAGTTATAGAGACAAGAAGCAAATGCTTTGCTACTGTATCTTTAGTGTATGAGGGAAACAAGCAGTTTCTATTCCCAGAGCCATAATTTCAAGCTTTAAGAAAAATAACACTGTGCATTGGATGTTAATTTAGAGCATATATAGCACTTGGCAGACCCAGTCCAGCAAGGTTTCACCACCTGGCTGGTACTGTAACTAGATCTTCAAAAGACTATTCCACCATTCCATTAAGTTAACTGCTTCAAATTGATGAGGTGCAGGACAATCCCTGTGATTTCCGAGAGTGTGGGCCCATTGCCACACTCCATTTGCTGTCGAATGAGTTCTCTTATTGGAAGTGTTGGTGTACGTAATTCTATGAGAGCAAATCAGGTATCTGTAGTGTGTCAGGCTGAAAAGAACAATATGCAAAGTATCTATTTCAGTGAGAAAAAAAAGTTCTCCATCCACAATATTGGAGAGTTTAACATAATTAATCTGCCTTTAGGAACCTGATCTATC